ATTGGTGATAGGGCTGAGATGTTCAGTATTATGGGTGACAAACCTAGTGTAGGTTCTCAACAGAAGAATATATAATTCCACTGATCAGCTATGTAGTTGTCGTTACATGCTCTGTTTCCCTTCATCCCTTCTCAGCTGGGTGTTACCCCAGACTGTTGTGCATCACCCTTCTGTTCCAGATTTGGTTGCTTCCCCTCATCCCTTCTCAGCTGGGTATTATCCCAGACTGTTGTGCATCGCTCTCCTGTTCCAGATTTGGTTGGTTTTCTCAGCTGGGTATTACCTCAGACTGTTGTGCATCACCCTCCTGTTCCAGATTCGGTTGGTTTGGGCCTGCCGAAGGTATGGGTCTATACCCTCAGTGGACAGTTTCTCCGGCAAGTTTTGTTGGGCGCGGCCGTTTCCACCGCTTTGACTACATGCGTCCGCATTCCGGACCAGGTTGTGGATCGCACCTCCTGCTTCACCTACATGGTGTTTTCAGGTTGGGTGTCTAGCGTGTAGTCAGTTCCACATCAAAGCAACCGACGCCTAAATAATATAAATAAAAACACAATCCGTCCACGGTTATGCCCTGAGGCCCCTCGTTCCTTGATTCCAAAACATTTCGAAATGTATGGACATTTGCAATCCTTTATTTACAATCTATTGTGCGTCTCTCCTCGTATAAAGCTGCTCCTCTCCAGCTCCATTGCAGTTTTTTCCCAATATCCCACATGTTTCATCTTCACTATATGCCTGCTCCTGAACTCGTTTCATCTGGTTTTCTCCCGAATGACTTTCTTAATCTGTGGGTCTTGCCAAATTTTTTCCATAAGACAAACTATCATTTGCTCGTTGTCCATAACAATTCACCCTCTGTGTTACATATTATGACCATTGTCCATCTTGTGTTCCGTTTTCACGGAAAACACCACATTTATGGTATCTTCTATATCAGCTTGCAAGTTGGATTCTTAAACTCTGTACTATCACTTACTGTCCCCACTGTAATTTTATATTATTATACATTTGATCATGCGCACAAGCATGCTTCACGGGCTTC